CTAAGTAACTTCTCTACCTCTGCTAGATATAGTCTACCACTCAGATGGATTTGTATATACTTCAATTCAAAAATTATTTTTATATAAAAGAGAAAAAAACCTCTAAAGTTCAATCAAATGGGTTAGTTATAAAGGTATCAGGGCTCCTCTCCTGCCGAAAATGCACCCTGAACAAATAAAGAATAATCATCTGATCTCTTATCATTTGATGAGGCTATTATCCAAGATCCCTTACAAAGAATCATGGCTTTATGCCTCAAAAAACTGAAAACAGGTACTCAAACAAATCCTTGTACATGAATGTTTTATAGCAATACTATTCATAGTAGCCAAAAGGTAGGAAAAATCTAGATGTCTGTCAATGAATGAATGGAGAAACAATGTTCTATATGCATATAGTGGAATATCATTTAGCCATAAAAAGGAATAAAATATTGATACATGCTACAATGCAGATGACTAAATGAAAGAAACTAGACACAAAAGGTCACATATAATATGATTTTATTAATATGAAATATCCAGAAAGGGTAAATCCATACAAACAGAAAGCAGACTGGTGGTTGCCAGAGGATGGGGGGGAGGAGTAAATGCTTAATGGGTATGGTGTTTTAATTTTGGAGTGATAAAAATATTTTGAAATTAGAAGTAGTGTTTGTACAATCTTATGAATGTATTAAATGCTACTGAATTTCTCACTATGAAATGGTTAATTTAATGTTATGTGAATGTCACCTCAATTAAAAAAGAACCATAGCTACTGATATGCAGTTACCTCAGTACTGACTGTTTACTTTTGTTGATTAACCACTAATAAGCTATACTTCTACTAGTCTCTGAAAATTCACTTCATCACCAATTGTAAACTTAGGTGGGGAAGGCCATTTACTATTAAACAGTATGGATAAAATTGGAAATGATAACTTACAAAAAATGTATAAAAAATAAAAACAATTAGTGAAAGTAAAAAGAAAAATTAAGGAATAGGGTAGAGGAAACTGAAAGAGAAGAAACATTGAGGACTGAAGAGGAAATCGTTACAAATAGAGTCGGATTCAAAAAGAATAAAGATTGCAATTGTCAGTAGTGATTAGGTATCTGCATATTTAAAACAATTAGAAAATGAGAGAATACCTATGAAAGAAGAAAAAGGTTTTGGGGCTAGAGAAGTATATTCTCAGTGTGCCTATAAATTTACAAGGCTAAAAAGCAGACACACAATTAATCCCCCAACCTCTTATTACACTGGAACTTACAGACAAAAGAATAAGATATATCCAATTACTCATTTAGGAATCATACTTATTTAAATGCCAATAGACAATACACTTTTTTTGACATTCCACTTTAGAATCATATTGAAAATTAGTTTTTTTTAAAAAACTAAATTCAGAACTTCACATTTATATCATTTTAACCCAAAACATTATTCCAGCTGTTTGTAAAATAATGAATTTTTCTAGTCTTGTATATAATAGATACAATAAACTAAAATTAATCACTCATAATCTTTACTTACATATTCCTTTACGTTTTTTGTTTTCACAGCTTTGTATGAATAATATGCAGGATACAGCATTCCAAACACCAACCTAAAAGTAAAAAGTATGAGACAGCCAATCAAATAATGCTTTTAAGAACTCGTTAATATATCACCTAACAGCAAAGTAGAAAGTACGTGGAAAACACACAACAGTAAATTTGTACGAATGCAAATTTCAGTATATACTAAATCCATTCAGAAAAACAAAGTGAAAAAAATATATATATATAGATTTTTTTTACAAAAGATGATTACAATATTCTAGATACAGTTTCACTGGGAAAAAAAGAGTTATTTTCTAAAAATGGCCATTTAACACATTTTTCTTGTCACAAAAAAATTCTTTGGTTCCTTGAAGAACAATTAGAAAATGTAGAAAACTTAAAAAAAAAAACTGTCCCAACCCTACCAATAAAAGATAGCCATAGACAACAACAATTTGTTCTATGCAAAATCCTACTTTTATCCATGTGTCTTATAACTAAAACATAAACATGCACACACACATGCACATGCACACACATACACACACAGAATTTGTGGTAATGAAAAAGTAGTCCTTCACTCTATTAGTTTGAGAAGCATTGGTCTCTCATTATGACAGTGCCGTGAAACAGTAACTTGATATATTTATTATATAATATGTATTAAAATAACTCTAAGTATTTGTAAAATGACTAAATTACAAGTAGGACTTATTTTAATGCCATCTGTTAAGATTATTTCACCGAATTCCAGATGCAAAAATAGCAACATATACACTGTGTAATGCTATTTTTGCATCTGTCCTTTAACATATATATATACATATATATACACATACACACACACACACATACACAGGGGTTACAATTGGCATTTTCAACTACTGTCATGAAATTTTTGTCCTCAAATATTTTACAGTATTATCATTACATTCCACAGTAGATTGCCATCATATACTTAAACAACATATTTATAGGTGTTTGGTTAATTTCCAGGTTTTTCCTATTAAACATAATACCGTGAAAAACATTTCTGTGTACATGGATATTCGCTTCCTAGTTGTAATGGTGCTGCTTCAAATAGTACACACGTTTTTACCTATTACCAAAATGCCCTCTAGAGAGGTAGTTCTGCATTCCTATACACTGCTAATCATGGGTATCATCATTAAAACAAAGTTTGCCAGCTAAATAAAAAAATAATAATCTCATAAGTGTTTTAATGTCCATTGTTGAATACTAGTAAGTATGAATTTTTTTCAAGTGTTTACTGACCTTTTGATGCCTGGGGTGTATGATATCCTTTGTCTACTTATCTTTTTTTCATTTATTTTTAAAGAGAATCTTTTATTTTAAAAGTTATTTTATAGAAAAATTGGGAAGATAGCACAAATAGTTTCTATATACCCTACACTGAGTTTCCCCTATTAACATATTACATTAGTAAGGTACATCTGTCACAGTTGTAAACCTATATTAATATGTATGAACTAAATTTCATTTTATTCAGATTTCTTTAGTTTTTACATAGTGTCCTTTTTTTCTGCCGCAGGATCCCATCAAGGATTGCATATATACTTAGTTGGGATTTCTTGCCTCCTGAGCTCCTCTTGGCTATAACAGTTTCTCAGACTTCCCTTGGGAAATGACCTTTGACAGTTTGGAGTATTAGTCAAGTGCATTGTAGGAGGCCTCTCTACTGGGATTTGTCTGATGTTTTTCTCATGATCAGACTGAGGTATGGGTTTTTGGGAGACGATCACAGAGGTTAAGTACCATTTCATCATTTAAAAAAAGTTTTTCGATTACAGTTGACATTCAATATTATTTTATACTAGTTTCAGGTAAACAGCATAGTGGACATCTCATCATATTATATCAAGGATATATACTGTCAACATGACTCACTTTTGAAGTTAACCTTGACCATCAGGCTGAAGTAGTATGTGTTAGATTTGCCACTGTAAAGTTACTCTTTCACTCCTTTCCATGCTGTACTCTATAGAAGGAAGTCACTATGCACAGGCCATACTTTAGTGGGGAGTTATGCTCCACCTTCTTGAGGGTAGGGCATCTACATAAATTATTTGGAATTCTTCTGCATGGGAGATTTGTCTATTCTCCCCATTATTTATTTTTTCAAAGATTTATATCAATATGGACTCATTTTATACTTTGGGTTCTACTTCAGTAATATTTTATTTTGTTGCTGAAAGCTTTGAACATTGGGAGATCTTTCAGTTAGTTCCTGTGTTCAAAATACCTCTATAATTGTGAGGGATTTTTTTTTTTTTTTTGAATAATTAGTTACTTTCTGGCACTACATGATGCACCAGGCTCATACTGTGTACCTCCTGCCTCATTCCTAGAATCAGCTATTCCTCCAAGAAGTCTTAGTTCCTTTTATTAGAGGATGGTATTAAGGACAAAATCTGGGTGCTTGGTATGCTTATTGTTACTGGAGTACTACTTACTGATTCTAGGCCCTTGTCTATTTTATGTTAACCAATTACTATTATCTTTTGATTTTGTTTAAAAAGTTTGCTGAAATATAGATTGTATTATGTTTGGTAGAGCTGCCATAACAAAATACCACAGACTGGGTGGCTTAAAAAACAGATCTTTATTTTCTCACAGTTCTGGAGGCTAGAAGTTCAAGATCAAGGTGTTGGCAGGTTTGTTTTTTTCTGAGGCCTCTCCCCTTGTTCTGCAGATGGCCACTTTCTATGTCCTCACATGGTCATCCCTTGGTCTCTGTGCGTGTCCTAATCTCCTCCTTTTCTAAGAATACTAGTTATATTGGATTAAGCCCCATGCTAAGGACCTCATTTTAACTTACTTGCCTCTTTAAAGACCTTATCTCCAAAAACAGTCACAATCAAAGATACCATGGGTTAGAAATTCAACATATGAATTATGGTGGGGGGGGAGAAATTCAGCTCATAATACATATTGTATATTTATGGATATTTATATTGTGTTTCCGATTATATTAAGCTCTTTTTATACTGAGAGCAAGTAAATATCTATAGTTCTACTTTTAGTTCACTTATACTTTTTTTGGGGTGGGGTGGGGTGGGGTGCAGCAGTAAATCCCTGGTGACTTTTTTATCCTTCACAAAGCTAAACCCTGGGTTTGGAACTGATGTCACCAGGTCAGATAGATACCAACTCTTCTCCTGCTGGGGATTTTATTCTCACCAACTGGAAGCCATATCATTAACAATTTCTGCCTTATCTAACAATAGTACCCTGTGAATGCTACTTCACCAGAAGCCAACACCCAGACTCTGGATATGAGATTTTTAGCTGTGCCACAAAGCCCAGGGCTTTTCAATTTAACACAAGGCATAGAGGCTCTCTAGCTTAGTGACTTCTAAGAAAGCAACTAACCTCAAGTACCAAGGTATAAACAAGAACATAACTCCCAGGTCTGCTATATGTTTATCCTCACTGGTTATACAGATGTAATCCATCATAGTTACAGTTTACATATTTAACTTAATAATTTCAATTCACTTTGTATTTCCCTTTAGAATCTGGATACAATCAATGTAATATCTTCCACATTCCCATATAATCTAGTACTACTACTGAATTTAAATTCAACACAAGATTCTTCAGTTCTACCCCTGGATGAATCTTTGACTCCTCCTTCCCCTGCTACAACATCCTTCTACTGTGTATCACAGTCCTGTTGGTTTTTCCTTGGTGAGAGTCCACGTAACCATTCTCCTCTTTCAGTTTCAAACCAGCAGCTGATAATACATACATTTAGGCTCATGTCATCTCATTTGATTTACAAAATAGTTTTCCAAAACATGCCTCTGGCTCCACTGTCAGATCAATATTCTTGCAATACCTCCTTGCTTTAAAGACATCACTAGTCGGCATCCTCATCCTCTTGCCAACCAGTCCGCGCGCGTGTGCGTGTGCGTGTGTGTGTGTGTAGAAGAGAGAAAAGAAGGGGGACATTAGAACATAATTTGAAAACCACTACTTTATGTACACCATCTATTCCAACATGATTTCCTCAATATGTCTCTTGTATTTCTATTTCAATCCTGGAATGTCTGCTTCTTGCCTGCAATGCCTCCCACCTTCCTTATCTTTCCTACTTTCCTTTTCCTCCATTTCTTTTCTTTAATTAATTCACTCCCTGCCCCCACTAAATATCCTCCATAGAATTTTAAATTACATTTAATTTGAACTTTAGAATTTGTCAGGATTAGTCATTTTGCCTTTAGCATATTCTATTTTAAATTGTTTGATATATTTTTTGACGTATTTTTAAGCATATGAGTGACTTCTAAAATAGAATTTTCTTATATTATAGTAAAGATATGGTGTTAGTTGATACTATAAATACAAGTGCTTTGTCTTTATTTTTACACCTCTGTATTGAATAGAGTCAATACAGAGTCAAATAAATAAACACAATATTCCTAACACCTAACTTTTCTAAGAGTAGAGAACGAGGTATTTCATTTGGAACATGGGAAAGATTTAAATGTCTTAGTGAATATTGGGACCATTTTTAAGGACTGCTACTATTAATATTATAACTTATTATTGCTCCAATGTGAATATTACTGAGTAATTTATTATTAACATCTGTAATATTTTATAGGTTTATTTTTTTTGGTTTATTTTTTTAAATATTGGGTCCTACTGTAGATGTTTGCAACCTGGGAGGTCAGGCATAAAGCCAAAGCATGAGCACAATGCATAAAATCAAATAAAGTTTATTTTAGAAGGCCACCTACAAGATAAACTTAGGGTTTATAAAGGAAATTAGTTGCTACAAATAAAATTCACTTATAAATTTGAATACTGTTTCAGTTATAGAGGCAGGAAGAAATAGTTACTCATTTCCTCTTAATCTTATTTTTGCCTAGAGAGAGAACTTTGCCAAAAGACTCAAGACACCCTTCCCTCCCACTAAAGTAAAGCTGCTTATAAGAACACTAGCTATATTGAAAAACTTACACTATTTTTAAAAAGAAATAAAATTTATGGGAATGTAGTAGTGGAAATGGTCCCTGTATCATTTTTCATACATGGA